CATACGCGAGCGGCGGCGTGGTGTTGTATCGGCACGCCGCCGCTCGCGTCCACACTTGGAACACTTGGAACGTGTCAACACTTTATTTATTTATACGGAAATTTTGTCAAAAATTAAGTGCCTATTTTTTTTACATAATTCGAATGACAATCATGTACCGAGTATTCTCCTTAAATATTGATAGTAATTCACCAGTCACCCTGTATATGTATAGACTTTAAAAAAATGCGCAGTTCTTTGTTGACAATACAATGAATGTTTCAATAAATTCAGATTTCGTATACTATTGTTTACATAAAGCAAATATAAATAAGGTTTTTCCTGTTACCGTGTGTCGTGTGGAGTAAGCGGAGATGATTCTTGAAAATGTTAAACATTGAATTAATTAATCCACCCATGCCTTCGTTTATAATTGATGCGTATACAAATCATACACTCTGATAATATAAATTTATTTGACACATTAACCAATATGACAGTGATAAGAGGTCAAGTGTTTATCACTCAGGAATTTCGTTTAGAGATTGTACGCATTGTTTTCAATATGGTCAAGCTATATATTTTTTGGTGTCGCGAAGCTTTATACATCCCTACTAATATTATAAATGCGAAAGTAACTCTGTCTGTCTGTCTGTCTGTTACGCTTTCACGCCTAAACCACTGAACTGATTTTAATGAAATTTGATACAGATATAGAGTTGACCTCGAGAAAGAACATAGGATAGTTTAGGATAGTTTTTATCCCAGACTTTATAAAAGTTCTCTTGGAAACGCGATATAACTGAACTCCACGCGGGCCAAGCTGCGGGCGGAAAGCTGGTATATTATACAATGTATTTTTTTCTATTCTTACTATAATTATATTTTCTGCCTGTCACATGTTTTATATCATAACTAAAAGCCGTATAACAACGTGACGTATATTCGTTTTATTGAATATTTTTCCTCATATTAGGTTTTATATTAGAAATATGCTATCGAATTGAAGTACGCTGTTATTATACATGTCACTATTAGATATATAAACTGAAGATTTTTTTCTAAATTTTAGAAATTAATTTAATTTTTCCTATGTACTTAATAAAAATAGTACTTAGCTATTTAATAATCTATTCAAGTTAGTGTTCACTATAGTGAATAAAAAGACACAGTCTTAATATATTAAGACTGTGTCTTTTTATACTTTGTATTATATTTTTCAGTCTGTTTCAATATAAACTATAAAAATGCTAACCAAATTTTAGCCCCAAATAAAAATATCATCACTTAAGTCGAAAACTAAAATTGATCGGACACTGATTTATTAAAACGACCGATACGACCTTTACGAAGCAAAGTCAAATAAAAAAGTATTGTAATAAGAAAGCAAAGTATAAAGAATTTTTAAACCTAACTTAACAAGACGTACCAAGTCGAAGTTTTGTTACGAAATCCATTTAAATTACCTTTAAATTAAATCTAAAAATAATGTAATTTTGTGAGCCTTGATTTCTAAAGTACAAATCCCTACTAATATTATAAATGCGAAAGTAACTCTGTCTGTTTGTTTGTTACGCTTTCACGTCTAAACCACTGAACTGATTTTAATGAAATTTGGTACAGATATAGAGTTGACATTGAGAAAGAACATAGGATAGTTTTTATTTCAGACTTTTGAAAGGTTCTCTTGGAAACGCGATATAACCGAACTCCACGCGGGCGAAGCTGCGGGCGGAAAGCTAGTATTTTATATTTCTCCTCTATATTCTTTATTCGTCAGTAACAGTAGTGAAACCCAGTATATGTGTAGTATGCATGTCACAATCCTGATCCTCTTAAGCTATCAGCTGGTGAATTAATCTTTTGATCAGGTTCAACGACCTCTTAATCTCTTTTGTAACGTGAGTGTTTGTATATGTTACATCAGATGTCCTCACTACTATTAAATATAACACATAGTTACTATATTTATATCTTTATGTATAAAAGAAAGTTGTGTTAGTTATATTCATATATATAACTTAAGAACGGCGGTACGGATGTGGCTGAATATTGGTGGAGAGATAGCTTAGAACCAGGAGATGGACATATGATATTTAATTCTATTCCATTCAAAAACAAAAAATACGCAATAAATTCTGGTTCAATATTTAGTTATTTATGGTCTCTAATACAGAATAAACTTCGCCCGGTCAGCTGTACACATATTACTAACTCCGAAATTAACGCGGACGAAGTCGCGGTCAAAAACTAGTATACATTTAAAAACTAGTAATATTTGTTCTCGTTAAGGGACTTCTTGATTAATTTTAATAATTGTTTATAATTAGAAGTTCTCGTTTGAAAATAATAATTTCAAGGAATTTAGGTGTAAAATTATTTATAGGCAATGTGTTTATATCACTTTCCATTCTCTATTACTTTTCTGTCCGAATTTTTTTCTATATAAGTTTTAAATACAGTTGACCATATCGTAGTGTCCTTGTGTCACAACATGACATAGTTTAAATCTGAACTATCCTTTCACCATTGACAGACAGACTGTCCAATTTACAACTAATTTACTTAATAATTTGGAAGATTATAACCATAAGTAGTAACAAATCCCTACTAATATTATAAATGCGAAAGTAACTCTGTCTGTCTGTCTGTTACGCTTTCACACCTAAACCACTAACCGATTTTAATTAAATTTGGTACAGAGGTAGAGTTGACCTAGAGAAAGAACTTAGGATAGTTTTCATCCCAGACTTTTGAAAGACTCTCTTGGAAACGCGATATAACCGAACTCCACGCGGGCGAAGCTGCGGGCGGAAAGCTATTTAATTATAATTAAAATGTTTTATAATAGTCATATTCTGCTCGACCGCCCTCCAGTCGTCCTTCCCTTTTCTATTGAAATTTTTTGTCATGAACAATCTTTATAACGAAAATCGATATGGTATTTTAGGTAAGAGCACTTTAAATATGAACTTGCTAAGTTTGTATAAAATTATAAATAAGTTTTTAAAGTAAACTGTAAGTGTTGGGAAAAGTTTTAAGTGATTGTGTACTGGTTTCAAACAAATAGGCTTGTCCGATTTTATCGTTACTTCTCATTTAATACACACATATATTAATACTCTCGTGATATTACTTGTATATAGATATGTGTCTGTCTGTTTATTGTCAATATAAAGCTGCCAAGGAGGTGAAATAAAGAAGTAGGAGAGACGTTTTCAGGTAAATATGACATATTTTGTTTGAATAAGTAATGACAGTGTAGACGCGACACAAGTGTACAAGTGTTCAGGGTCGCCTTGGCACCTGAGGGTTTCATGAAGTGTCTTGGAGATTTCACAGACCTTAAGAGATTTGAGACAAGACGTATTCTGTTTGAAAATTTACCTTACCTTACCTTACCTTATACAGAAATGCTACAAGTGTCATGAATGTTTGAAGCTCTCTGTTATTCTTCAGACAGACACTCATATTTAATTTTGTGTGAAGCCTAAAGCAATTTAATTTATATACCAGTATGCTTAGTATAAGTTTTCATCGTTGCTACATACGAACCGTCTCTCGTTTCTCATTCAATAACTTACGTTAATACTATAATGTGAGAGTATTTATCAATGAAAAACTCTAAACCCACTGTGTCCATGTAAACTTTTGGTAAACCTAAATAAAACACTTAATAATATTTTAATTATTATTTAATATTGATTAATATAATATAAAAAAACGCATATTCTACAGAAAAACGTTGCCAAATCAATTATATATTTTCTCTGGCGGAATGTAGAATGACTCCGCATCCGCTGTAATACTTTCTACTATATTTTGACGATCACACAATGTTATGGATCTGTGGTTTTATCTTTATAGTGATAATACGTTCAAATATTTCATTTATGAACATGTTTATGATTTGAAAAAATTCTTACAAGTAAAGAAGACACTAATGAGTTACTTAATTAGACAGAAGTTCCTAGTTCAAGACGTAGTGGATTCTTGTGTATGTAATTTGTTTTAGTATTGACTGATATTTATATGAAATTTATAGTTTACTAAATACATCGGGAAGTCGACTCGAGGAATAGAAATATATTCCGTTCTTTGGAATTTTAATTGCGAGATAAAATTCATTTAAAGTTTATAAGTTCACCGCTTTGATAGTAACAGCACCGCGTGCTAAAACATCGTAATTTACATTCAAAAACTTTGCAAAATAATCAGAGATCGTATAGTCAAGGACAGAGTGGTTATAATGAGATGATGTAATATTGAAATGTGTATTGAGATGAGGTTATTATAATAGAAAATTTTGATACAGTTTGTGGAGTTTATTCTGTCAGAGTACGATGATGGAAGTGTTAGTTAAAAAGCAGCGTAAAGTATGCAACGTGCCTTGCTCAATCGATTTCATATCCGGCCGGTACCGACGAGGTCGCGTTGCCAAATAACGCTGACAGGGGAAATGTTAGAACATGTTACATTCATTTATATATAATTTAAATGTACATTTTTATGTTTATTCATATTATTAAGAAAATGTACTCTATGTGCTATATAAGCTAGGCGTACAGATGATTTCTTAATACACATTTAATTTTTTTACGTACGCTCCTAATGTACTGATCATATGAAATAACTATTTAATGTGAAGTTTTCTTCTATTTAACAAACCTATATTAGATTTCTAAACTTATGTTCTAAGATATTTATAACATCAATTTAAATGAAATAGGTATGTTTAAATGAAACTAATATTTTCTAATTACTACGCGTATGTACTTATATCGTCTGCCCGTGATCACGGTTGCTGTGAAGTGACCGAAATATCAGGACTATGTAGTTTTTAAAAGTAATAAAATATGCGTATATAAAATATTATATACGCAAACATATAAATGAAACTAATAAGTTTCATTTAAATGAATACTCGTAAGTTTTAGATCACATTAAATAGGTGTTACGCTCACATCATTGAAGAGTATCTATCATAGTGACCCCCAAACGTTATTCGTCTCTTCCCCCAGGCGTACGAGCGTCGTTTCCCAAGCTGTCCCCAGATCCCGGTTGTGATAGACTGTGTGATCACCGAGGACAGCTGGTCCGCAGACGACTCCCAGCGACAGACCACCAGGAGGTGCCAGCTCAATGTGGACGCGCCATACCTGCTCAAGAAGGTAACACAAAATAATACTGATGGAAACGTAGCGAACCTTTGACTTGACTTTGATTAATACTACGAAATTAAGTGAACGCACAATAGGAGGGAATTAATTACTCGAATGGCTTATGATGATTTACATGTTCTCGGAACTTCAATTCCCTTTGACCGTAATTGTGTAATCAAAACTTAATCGACTTTCTGGTATAATATTCAGTTTTAATTTTCATGAAAATCTAATGGCCATAAGGTGTTTCTAACAGTTTTTTTGTTGTAGATGATCGGTGTGGACTATATTTACTTCATCCAAAAGAACAGCCTGGACCTGAGGAGTCGTGTGCTGGAGATAGAAGCCACAAACGAGACCTTCGCCTCCAGGGTCTCGGTCGTTGAAAACTGTCGCTATTTCGTGAGTATCTTTGATTAACTGTAATGCAGAGGTTTCCAAACTTATTTTGCCTACTGCCCACTTTGAGAATTAATCATTTTTTAACTACTGCAAGACTACTGTAACTTCTCCAAGCTGAAGAAAATTACAAATCACCTCTCAGGCCTCTACAAAAGCCTTAATTTTTTCTGGATCTCTTACCGCCCCCTTAAGGGCAGAAACGCCCACAAGCGGGCGTTATCGCCCACTTTGGAAAACGTTGCAGTCATGTACAGAAAAAAATGATTGAATAGATAGTGGTTTTCCATGATCTGCATTTTTAAAGCAATTTTCTTTAATGAGTGTAGGAAATTGTCAATTTGAACGATTGCCAACCGACACAGCGGCGCAGTAACACACGACACGAGTTGTTGGTATCACTGGGCACGTGTTTCATAAAACATTAGTTCATATCCGGCAACATTAGTACTCATTAATAAAACCGATGCTCGCCTCTAAAGACGTGTATTCTATACGCGGAATAAGACATTTAAAATTTATATGTAAATAGTATTTAAATGTTTTCCTATGATTTCGTTTATATAATTTTTTGTCCAAAACTATTATTATTTCAATATAAACGATACTTTGCTATTTATGTATATTTTATTAGTTTTGCGAGTGTTTTGTTTCAATGTCAAGTATGTACATACAATGTTCCAGTGTATTTTTGGCAACACATGTAATGGAGTCTTATTCTATAATGAGATTTCCTTGAACCAGCTCGCACCGGCTCGTGTCGGTGTACACGCGATCGTAATTGCATTACAGGTTCATAGTAATATGTTGTACAGATTACATCAACTACTGTTATACTATATAATGATACGACTAGTATAATGAATTGGTTGGCTTCTACATATAAAACTACTAGCTTTCCGCCCGCAGCTTCGGTTCGGTTATATCGCGTTTCCAAGAGAAACTTTCAAAAGTCTGGGATAAAAACAGTCCTATGTTCTTTCTCAAGGTCAACTCTATCTCTGTACCAAATTTCATTAAAATTCGTTCAGTGGTTTAGTCGTGAAAGCGTAAGAGACAGACAGACAGACAGAGTTATTTTCACATTTATAATATTATTAGGGATTAGGGATATATAAGAAATTGTATTGTTATTACAGAGTATATATATTTCTAAAAAACAATAATTTCTCGTTCATGTTTTAAATAATGACGAGGGTTAAATTTAAGAGATTTGATCGTAAAAAATGGGTATGAAACATGGTATGGGCTCACGTTACAAGGACAGTGTCTGTTATAATTAGTAAGATTAACAACTTCCTTACTTTCTACGTAGTGTCTGTTGCGTCTTTTTATTTATTTAATTAATGTTCAATAACTCTGTGTTTTTTAGGTTTCACAAGTGTAGGTCGTAAATGATTTTAATTAGTTTTAGAAGTGGATAAAAGGGACATTTAAGTGGTTCTTATGTTTACACTTGTACCATATTTTACCTTTAATTTTTTTGGAAACGAGTAAAAAATATTTCTCAATTAATATGTTTCTATTGTCCTAACATCCCATTAGTTTTCTAGACTCTTTGATTTCTTTACTTCGCTTTATCCTGCTATCCTCGACACACATTTTGTGTCCATTGTATCTATGGTAGACTTGGCAACATTTTTGGTAACTCCGCACTTATCCTTGGAAGGTTTTTTTTTGGCTAGAGTTTACTATTAGATTTTTTACTTACTATTTATTAAAATGAAATAAGAGCAGATTTTTTATGTAAATTTATATGTTGTCATTATTTTTTTAATTCGTTAACGTTTTAATCTTTAAACAATAAAAGCTTACAGCCTCCAAGATCTTTAAGAACAGATTAGTTATATCTTCAAATATAATCCCATTTTCCTGCTGATAGTTTTAATGTGAATGTTTTTTTCTCACTGGGAAGCCCTGACATATGGTATATACAAGACAAAGTCATGCCGTTAAGTGATTCGTTGAGTTCCGGTATATCTGAAAAAACGTATGGAAGATGGCTCTATACCGTTACGTCTGATGTGCGGGCTTTATTACTTATAATATACTTCCTTCATCATGGGTATCTTGCCTGGGTTCATAGCTTAATTTAGTCGGAATAAATCATAAGGATTTGGCTTATATTTTATGAGTAGATGCTCGAATATCTTAAGAATACTCGGACCACCTTCAATTATCAGTTATTGAAGTATCTTCGAAAATTAAGCGGGTTCATTAAAAAAAGTTAAGGCTATAAAAATGTTCTTGCAAAAGTACGCAGTACTTCGCGTTAGTAGTTTCTTTGTCACTATGAAGCACAGGTCCGGTTGTATGTCGAATAATGCTGGCACATTTAGGCAGATTTACTAACAAATGTCACCTCACTCTTTTGGACTCCGTGGAGAAACGTGCAAAAAGACTTCTCAGCCTTGAGCTCAGGCGTATAGTGGTCTTGATCCTTGAAAATACTGCGAGAGTCTCAGTATTTAAAAAGATACACTTTAGACATTCTCCACACTGGTTAGGCTTCCTTCTTATAGGTACAGAAAAGGATTTGAACAGTTTGTCAGGGATATTTCTCCTTTCATTTATAATTTAAAGTATTCAACACTGGAGTGAAAAAGCAGTTATTGATATTGATGTGTTTTATCTTTTTCACTCAAAAATAACTTTGCAGATTTTGATCAAATTCACAATAAAGTAATTTAAACAACAGGATGAAACAAACTACAAATTATCGTATTATGTCACAGTTATATTGTGTGGTTGTCATATCTAAAGTTTTAATAATTGTCTTTCGAGGAGGTCACGCGTACGAAGTTGCGGGTAGACAGTAGACACTAGTAAACACAAGTAAAACAACATTCATACCCATAAATGTAAATAATAAATGTAATGTGTCGTTGTTTCAAATTGTATTCAACTAGAGTCTATATTCTTTGCTCGTCTAGTAAGTCATTAATACATAATGCCTGTATTTTTATTGCACGGCATCATTAGTCCAATTCGCTCGTTTTTTGTTTATCGCTCGTCCATAATCCGGAAACGCATAAGTGGGTAAGCCGGTTTTATATATTGGGGCGTTAACACATGCACGTGTAATTGTGTACACGAATTATGTGTGTGTGTGTGTGTGTGTGTGTGTGTGTGTGTGTGTGTGTGTATGTGTGAGTAACATCTCCAGAAGCCTTAAAACTTGATTGTAATCATTTTTAGGTCGACATCGAGTTTCGTTTCCTTATTCGACACTTTTATCGTTTTTCGTCGTGTTCTCATGAAGTGATCTGTATCTTATATGTTTACCACAAGTTTGCAACGCAATACTACATGTTAAGAGTTAATAGTTTTCCATTTATAAATCTTTGCACTATAGTAGCGACTTAGATTACTGGTTTACAAACTGGAAATTCTTCATATGTAGTGTGACTATGAAAACTTGTATTAGCCAAATTGAAATTATTTAACACATTTTTTTATTATATTTAAAATAAAAAAATGATAATCTTTAACCTTCAGTATACATGCTATCTTCTAGATATATTTTAGTTTTATACATACATATATACGTATATATGTATGTACATATAGTCCATCATCAGCCTACGTTGGAGCTGGTCGTCAAGGACATGTCTCTAACCTTCTACGTACATATCTAATATTCCACAACAAACCATTAATAGTAGTTATAACATATACCATAAGTGTTTCAACTTAAGGCGCATTTCTTATACTGTAAGTCACAGATGGTGAGGTTTCCATGGGATAGGAGAGGTGGCGACAATTAAAGCTAACAGCTGGGGAGCTAGTACAGTAGTTACATGAATTATAGAATTTATATTAATGGTACAGAATATGCTGGAAAGTTTGTGAGCATTTATACAGGGTGACTGGTGAATTACTATCAATATTTAAGGAGAATACTCGGTACATGATTCTCATTCGAATTATGTAAAAAAAATAGGCACTTAATTTTTGACAAAATTTCCGTATAAATAAGTAAAGTGTTGACACGTTCCAAGTGTTCAAGTGTGGACGCGTGCGGCGTCGTGCTGATACAACACCACGTCGCGACACGCGTATATGTGAGTGTGAGTGTATACCTAATCTGTAGGGTGTTCACACGATGCGTGATACATAACTTTTGGTTAACTTTACTTAGAAGTTTATTAATATTTATGTTATATTAATTTTTATTTTGTCATATATGATCGTCAAATATCACGTCCTGAAATATCGATAGTAATTCACCAGTTTCAGCTTCGCCCGCGTGGAATTCGGTTATATCGCATTTCCAAGAGAACCTTTGAAAAGTCTGGCATAAAAACTATCCCATGTTCTTTCTCAAGGTCAACTCTATCTCTGTACCAAATTTCATTAAAATCAGTTTAGTGGTTTAGGCGTGAAAGCGTAACAAACAGACAGATAGAGTTACTTTCGCATTTATAATATTAGTAGGAATTTCTTAATACGATGACCAATGAACTTCTGGAACTTAATATTGACCTAACTGAAATACTCGCAACTTAACGTTGTGTAGCATTCTTTATATAAAATTATCAGTAGTTAACTGTCACGGGTACAAGTGTGTTAATATTTAAACAGACATGTATATGATATCAGTTTTATCATTTCAATCAAAACACTAGTTTTGTTGCTGTAAGATGCTACTTAATGTTGCCACGATCGTGGAAAATGATAGAAATATTTATAGCACAAATAGGGACTCAAATTATAGAAAAATATATTAAAAAATGTCTGCTGTGAATAACTGAAGTAGATACAAAAGTATGTATATGCTTCTCAAACTGATTGAAAGTCATACAAATATAAACTAAACGTATTCATTGCTTGTTGAAGGTACACCCAGAGAATTCTGAGTGGACTTGTTTCGAGCAGAGAGCGTTACTCGACGTCAAGAACTTCTTCGGCCTCGAGAACACGGTCGAGAAGATAGCCATGAAGCAGTACGCTGCTAACATAGCCAAGGGTGAGGGTATAGTACATTGAAACAACTAGCCTAGGTGAACCGAATTGAGGGGTTAACGAACCTTCGATTATAGGCAAGGAGCTGATCGAGATCTTCATGCAAGGAGTTCACGAGGACGGTGTGAAGGAACTGAAGCCCTGGTCGGCTTCCGACCCTCGGAACAACAGGGAGCTGAGGCGTGTGGTTTCCAGGGGCACGGAGCCTTTGTCACCACGACCAGCGGCGGACGCCAAGAGACACTCGATACCAGGTATGACCATGTACATACAACAAACACATCATGAGATGTAAGCTATAGTTAGAGTATAAATTATTTGAACCAGATATTATTATACGAATTTAATTGATGCTCACCATTTGATACTTCTGGTAGCTCATCTGTTGGTCCATTTTCATCTTAACATGTTTTTGGTTTGAGGAAGAAATATTCGGTTACATTTTCATAATTTTTTATGATATTCAAAAGGTATGAGGCATAATTTAAAAGAAATTAAATGATTGGATCTGACGAAATAGCGAATTGTTCAGGGACTATCAATAAGTGTTGATATAAAATACATCTCTCTATAATATTATAGTTATGTGCAAAGAATTCTGATACGTTGAAAATCCGAATTAGTTGTCAATTTTCACAATATTGAATTTTTCATCGATATTTTTATAGTAGCAGTGAGGAAATAGGCTATCTGACGCGCTGACGGTCGGAATGACAATATTATATTATGGCTATCGAAGTTATTTTCAATAAACTATACAATATTTTAACATAGACGTGAAAATACTGATTATTATAAAAATATATCACCTGTTCCTCTAACAATTATCAATGTTATATTTGCACAATTCAGAACTCACATACAGATAATGAAATCTATGATTTTCGCGAGTATTCATTTAAATAAAAAACTAATATTTTTCGGATGTACTACGCGATTTCAAATTTCAGACATCTCGTCTGTCCGTGATCACGGTTGCTGTAAAGTGGCAGAAACGTAGAGAATATGTGGTTTATAATCTCTACTACTCGTAATATTATAAATGCAAAAGTAACTCTGCCTGTCTGTCTGTTACGCTTTCACGCCTAAACCACTGAACTGATTTTAATGAAGTTTGGTACAGAGATAGAGTTGACCTTGAGAAAGAACATAGGATAGTTTTTATCCCAGACTTTTGAATAGTTCTCTTGGAAACGCGATATAACCGAACTCCACGCGGGCGAAGTTTCGGGCGGAAAGCTAGTCAAAAATAAAATCGCGTAGTACATTCGAAAAATATTAGTTTCATTCACATAAAGATACTTCGTTAGTAGTCGTCGTATTTCTGAGATGCTGTCAAGTGTCTTTTGTTCGTGCTAACAATAGCCGTTCAACATTTCATTGCCACGGACAGACGGTCTGTTTCCCGTGTACTTGTATGATGTAGTAATAAATTTTTATTCACCACTAGCTGCCCACTTTCGTCCGCACATATTATCAATACATATACGCCCATATAATAACTTTTAATATTTAACAGTTTGATAAAATTCATTAAAATTTGAGATTACAATATATGTGTGTAATGTATATGTATGTATCATAAAAAAAATGGCCAAAACTATTCACAACATGTAAGGCAGACACTGGCTAAAGCTGGGAAATTGCCACTAAGAAGAAGGAAATATGTATGTATCATAATTTACTTAGCAAACAAGAACTCTTTTATCATAGAAGAGATATTCAAGAGAAAATTCTGATTGTTTTTAATCAGCCGTTACAGTATATATGTCTTGAGATAACCTGTCCGTCCGTAAAATGTTTATTTAATTCTATTACCGGTATGTTTATTTCAGTAGTGATGTTAGCGTCTAAAACTCTTGGAGCGTCTATTTTGAACTCGTCTGAAGGACGAATGGAAAACTTCTACTTCACAGACATTAGATTTAAAATCATTTTTATAAGAAACTACATTTTAAAGAATTTATGACAAATTTTTATTTGTTTTTGTCAGCAACTTAAAAGAGTTTGTTTTCTTTCATACAGATAAAAGAAAACTATGAGACAAAATATTTAAATTATTAGTCATACATTGGCAAGACCTTCGGGGTAAAGATATTTTTATTGATCTCAGTACTTCGCGCGTCTCTTTTTAGTGGTTGTTAGAATATTCGTTACTGCCAGAAACGGTTTTACACTTGAACTATACTAAAAGGTTATTTGAGAAAACATAATAATATAATAAATATATATTTATTCAGTTTATTTCAGTATCTACAATTGACACTATCAGTCGACCTACACATCACATTCCGCTGAGATAAAAAATGCCTTGTAACTTTTATTTTGATATGTTATATATATACGACTATATATTTAAAACTCCAAATACTGTTTCTTTGTCACTGGAATTATCGCTATTCGTTTTCAGACGCGTCAGATCTTACTAGATTAGATTATTTGTATTTTTATAAATAGCTTCTTGGAAGAAACAATATTTATTCACGAATACACTTATTTAGTGTATTTTAAATATCTAAATGTGTAGTACGATCTCAAGTTCAATGACCTTTGATAAATGATCTTATTATATGGCTTAGATACAAGTAAAATTTTATGTTAACAGCGTATATAAAAAATAATATATTTAATGTGGGTTTTGGCTGTTTCCAACACAATGTGTGGAGTAATTGTGGGTTTGAACATAAAATAGTTTTCATCATAAAGCTATGTGTCATTTAAACTATTGAAGGAAATTCAAGTTTATGTTGTATAAACTTCAACAGCCACGCCGAGTATTTAGACTATCAGAATTCCAAATTCCACAGCGCACAAACACGGCCTTCTGAATTAGGCAGTAGTTTAACAATGCGTGTTCTATATTATTCAGCTGTGACAAACTCTGTACTGTAATCCTCTGGTTTCCATACCGCAGTATATAAACGTATCTTTTGGAGCTATTGTTGTATTCTTCGTAATACTTTCGACTAACAATTGGTTAAATTTGAATTTATTTAAAGTAACGTATTATATATTTCTCGTGTCGAATATAAAATTATTATTCTTTCGTTTAATGAGTATAAAACAAGGCTAAATTTTTCGTTTACATTTGGCTGTACGTGGACTCCCAACCTCCCTTCGACCCCCTCCACAGTTTCAACACAAAATTAATTAAGCTCTATAATTACACTCTATACTTTATACCCAGATACTATGATCTTGAAAGTATATATGTATATGAAATTAAATGACCACGTTATTGAAATTTGTTGTAAGCATACTAAATAGTAAATATATTTTTTGGCGTTAAAATACAAAAGGAGGTTTGAACAACAACATAGTAATCCAAACAAAGACGTCTACGTCATCCCTATTTCATATTCCTCAAGAAACCTAAATTCCCCCATCCTGCCTAATTCCTATCCATCCTCGATCCCAACCTAACCCGATCCTCCTTCCAGGTACATCCCAATCCGGAATCTGGAGCAATCCCTCGTTGAGGAAGTCATCCCCAAAGATGTTCAGAAACAGAAGCAAATCCGTCATATCATTGAGAGATCAGAAAAACAACATCAGCAAACAATCCGATAAAATAGATGTAGTCGGTAACTCGAACTCCAGCCGGAGTAAACAGAAGCTGGACAGCGGACAGTCCACTACCAAGATAGCTCATCGGAGGAGCGAGGTCAAGGTCAGAGATGATAAGAAAGACGATGATAGGAAGAGGCGGGTCGCCATAAGCAGTCCTGACCTGACCCGCCGGCACAGCATGGACGTTAGTTCTTTGAAAGAGTTAAACTTAGTGAAGTCGTGCACCTGCGACCCCCAGGCCTCCCAGATCAACGTGGCGGAGCTGTTCTCCAGGTGGGACAACATAGCTGTTGTGGTACTCTGCGTGCTTCTCATTGTGATGCTGTTGTCAGCGCCCGCATCATTTTTCTTCCGAAGACGTGATACATATTAAGCGCAATCCGATTCGATTATATGATGGCTTTGTATTTATATTGGTTTTATTTATTTTTATTATTTTTTTATTGTATGGCCTTCATCCGTGCGAAGATGTCACATATGTTAATGCGTTGTAGAGAACATCACGACGGTCGCTGACGTGTTGTCACGACTGTACTGTTATAATATTATATACAAATAAGCCATAATTCAGCGAAAGAGATTTAATGGAATATACGTAGAATGAATTCGGAATATTTAAGGCATTATTTCAAAGTCAAGCTGGTAGATCAGTTCGTATCGGGGCGAGGGTGTGGGAGAGGTCCTCCCACGCGGGCTGAGTGACGTCACCACTCGATAAATGTGAACGAAAGTACAGAACTGTGTAACGAAAATACAGGCGTTAATGGAAGCAAACATTAAACATAAGTGTAACATATATTGTATCGTTACGATAAGGTTGTTCAACAAACGCGTTACTCAACATGGCGAGTAGGGATTAGTCTTTATATACCTAGCTTATAATATGTAACATGTACATATAAAACACTGTGAGAATCTTGCCCGTTGGTAACACGAGTGAGTTTGTTTCGTTGAATCGATAGCGCTCCTGCGGCTGGCGACCTTGACCTTGATGCAGTCCTTCTGCAAGTGATAAGTGGGACCTTGTCGCCCGGACGAGTGCGGCGCGAACGAAGCCTTACGACCTTGACTTAAGGATCACATTGCTCACCAACAACTCCTAGCAGATAGCTGATACATTTAAGACGTTCTTTTGGTTTTATAGCTCTTTAATATTTATCGAGGTAGAATGAGACGAAGTATTACAAAAATAAAAACAGTTCTTACGAAATCGTTTTGGAATGTTCAAAATGGCTATTTATAGAAATCAATTTTTAACGTACGAAATAAAATAAATGACCGAAATACCACACGAGCTGCAGTCGGTGGAATTGTGATTTATCCCGGAACATCGATTTAGGTCAGAATTAATCCGTCCTACGGCCGGGCTCGCTGTAGATATGGCAGTTATTGGTAAACATTGGAACATGGCAAAATATTACTCTCCGATAAAATAAAATGTAGGATTACCTATTGTAATACTTTTTTATTTACTTGTTCATAATATAGAGCTAGGAATATTTAGCGACATATAGTCTACAATTCAGAGTACCAAATTAACGAGTTATTTCATGTAGATAAATTGTGTTGAAGCTATAACGTATTGTACTTTTATATTTCTTGGTGGCAAATGACTTAGTATACTGTATATTCCATTAGCGTTATGTTTATTAAGTTGTTCTAAACTGACATATTCTAGATTCATACACCCTGGACAGCGAGTACATCAAGAGGTACCTCGGCGAGCTGACTCCCACCCAGGAGGCGAGGCTGCTGCAGCTCAGGAAGTGGATCGCGGAACTGCAGAAAGGAAAGGTAAGATGTGACAGGTATGGTGAGGTCAATGACCTGTGATGAGGCAGATTAATTATCTTGTCATCTTAGCTGTTCATGTTTGAAAGGCCAGCTCAATGTCCGGAGATTACATCTCTGCCCGTGATCACGGTTGCTGAAAAGTAACCGTGACGTCGGGAGTATGTGGTTTTAAAATAATAAAATACGAGTAGTAATCCGAATAATATGAGTTTCATTTAAATTAATACTAGCGAAAGTCTTAGATGTAATAAGACCAACTCAATGTTAACAAAAAAAAACTAAGGACCAAGGCGCTGATAGTAATATTGTGATATTTTAAATAGATATCGTTGAAATCAGGACGTATGTTTGAATCAGATATTAGATAAATGTGAGTGTTATTTCCTTTTATCAAGTAGTTTGAGGAACGAAATGATAAATAATTTATATTCATATTTGTCGTTTTTTATCAGTCAAAATAAAAACACGTTATCGTGGAACGAGGTCGTAACTTTATAGACGTTCTACATCCTTGAACAGATAATATAAAGGGATGCATCATGTTATAGAAAAAACTGATTTTATATTAAAATATACTTGATATATCTCGTGTCCTAATAACTTAAAAAAGGCTCAGGAACTTAAAATCAGTCAAAGGATACAATGTGGAGTGACACATTCATTTCCGTGTCTCCACAAGGCCTGTGGCCTGTTTAAAACATGATTGTATTCAACACCTCTTTCCTAGTTCACTAACACGTTGCTGTCAGCTTGGTGAATACTTTACGAAAAAGTTTCAATGAATTATACTATTGATTATTTTTTTACTCATCTACTGAATATTTCAAACTGAATTTTCTTACTTATTGCAATTATATTATAGAAATGGTTCTAACTTCGATGTTCTTGACATATAACTTTATATAACCATTACGGCAGGTTTTGTAAGTTGTATTATTATTATTGTATACTTCATAGTACTTGAATTAAGTCAGTGGTGGCCTAGTGGTCAAAAGGCCCGCCTCTCATGCTCGAAGGCGCGGGTTCGATCCTGGCCCAGGCAAGTACCAATGTGATTTTTCCGAATCATATGTACTTTCTAAAAGTATTTAGACAGCGCTGATTAATGCATTCCCAAAGAGGGTAGATGGCAGGCAGGCGGCCGGTCGTAAACACAATTTGCCACAACTATTCACAACATGTAAGGCAGACCCTGGCTAATGCTGGGAAATTGCCAGGTAGAAGAAGAAGACTTCATAGTTATTGATTCTCTCTCCAGGTGCCAAGTGACACGACTCTGCTCCGTTTCCTTCGAGCTCGTGACTTCAGCGTGGAGAAGGCTCGTGAGATGCTGTCCCAGAGTCTGTTGTGGCGCAAGAAACACCAGGTGGACCGGCTGCTGTCGGAGTACCAGACACCGGAGGTGGTCAGGCAGTACTTCCCCGGAGGCTGGCATCATCATGACAAGGGTTGGATATACTTATAGTGACTTATTTTGGTGCTGTTTTAACTATCAATGCAAGAAAACAGTTTTAAACTCAATGAGTTCTACGACTTAATGTGATTTTAGAGTTTCTGTTTCAGAAATCGAAACTATTTAAATTAGTTATAAAAATGAATTTAATAAAAGATTTAGATAATATAAAAATTTGAAGTGTAGGTGTGAATACAGAAAACTGTATATAAAAAAATACAATTTTATTTATTTATAATGTTTTTTTATTCCAGACGGACGTCCGCTCTACATACTTCGACTTGGACAAATGGACGTCAAGGGTTTGTTGAAATCAATCGGAGAAGATGGCCTCTTGAAGTTGGTGAGTATTGATAATCATATGTTATGTTATAATAAATGAACATATCGTCGGGAATAGTGCAAATCCGATTAGCTACCATTGGATAATTCCACGTATATACATTGGAAGCAGAATATCAGAAGAAAGTTTGAGCTGAAATATTTTCTATATTAACGACTTTAAGGTATTTTTTTACAATTAGTAATTATTTAGTATATAATTAATTATTTAATTTATTATTGCACTATCTCCGACGATATATCATAACACAACCGAAGGTTTTTTTTTAATTTACAACAAGCACACTTACAACATACATATTGAATATTTACAGTTAAAGTGACTATATTATAACATCAGATATGTATGTACGTCAGTGACAAGTGTATATAACATTTACTAACTATAAACAGTGCACAATTAAAAAGTTTACATACTAATTTAAAGATAAAATAAAAATATTACGTAAAAATAACAAAATAAGATAAAAAATATAACTATACAGGGTGACTGGTGAATTACTATCAATCTTTAAGGAGCATACTCGGTACATGATTCTCATTCGAATTATGTAAAAAAAATAGGTACTTAATTTTTGACCAAATTTCCGTATAAATAAATAAAGTGTGTACACGTTCCAAGTGTTCCAAGTGTAAACGTGTGCGGCGGCGTGCTGATACAATAATACGCCGCCGCGCGCGTATGTGTGTGTGTGTGTGTATACCTAATCTGTAGGGTGTTCATACGATGCGTAATTAATTACATAACTTTTGGTTAACTTTACTTAAAAGTTTATTAATATTTATGTTATATTAATTTTTATTTTATCATATATGATCGTCAAATATCACGTCCTCAAATATTGATAGTAATTCACCAGTCACCCTGTATAAACTTAGGAAGACTAACTTAGAAAAAAATAGTCAATAATTTTTTGTTTAAATACATAAAATGAATCACTAAATAGGTAGACTTGGTAATTTTTTGGAAATGTCATTATAAAATTTTGCTAATTGCACTACGGGAGACTGGGATCCAAGATTAGTTTTAACGCGCGGGATGTGAAATGTGTTCGGAATAGAATTCCTTGGGCATGTATAAGGAACATTTAGAAGGAAGCGTTCAACTAGGCCACTGTACTGAAGAATTAAGTATTTTATGTAAGAAGCAGAGACTCTGCACGCATCGTCTGTCACGAAGAGACAGCATTTTGAAATGCAGAAGCCTTTGAACATATGGTTGTCTATGCGAGAACTCATTTGAATGGAAGGCAAGATGCCTAGTGAAGTTGCGCTGAATACTCTCAACACGTTAAGAATTAATAGTATAAATGGGATTCCACACAATACAAGCATATTCCAATTGACTACGCACAAAAGCATTGTACAGCAAGATCTTGGTAGAAACGGAAAACCCTTTTGTGTTACGTTTGATAAAACCTAATGTTTTAGCTGCTTTACCAATAATACTAGTAATATTAGAAACAAACTTTAATTGGCTATCCACCATGACACCAAGATCTATAATCTCAGTTATTTTTTGCTATTGAGCGTCGCCAATAGAATAACCTGACACAAGTGGTTTTTTTTTTCGAGAAAATCTGGCATGAAAACATTTATTGATGTTGAGAGTCATAAAATTTGTTTTGCACCATTTATAAATTCTATCTACATCGCTCTGTTTCTGCTGAGTGTCAATGACCTCTATGTCAATGTCTTCCAGACGCTCCACGTATGTGAAGAAGGTCTCAAGCTGCTGGAGGAGGCTAGCAGGTCTATGGAACGCGCGGTGCAGGCCTGGTGTTTACTGGTGGACCTGGACGGACTGAACATGCGGCACCTGTGGCGGCCCGGGGTGCGCGCCTTGTTGAGGATCATACAGATAGTGGAGGACAACTACCCGGAGACGATGGGCCGGGTGCTCATCGTGCGCGCGCCCAGGGTCTTCCCTATACTATGGACCATTGTTAGCACTTTCATTGGTGAGTTACTATAGAAGAGGATTCATCATCCTTCCTTCTACCTGGCAATCACTCAGCTTGTAGCCAGGGTCTGCCTTACATGTTGTGAATAGTTTTGGCTAATTGTTTTTACGACCGGACGCCTGCCTGACATCAACCCTCATTGAGAATGCATTAATCAGTTGTGTCTAAAGACTCTTAGAAAGTACATATGACTCGGAAAAATCATAATGGTTTTTGCCCGGGCCAGGATGCCCACTCATGAGAGGCGAGCCTTTTAACCACTAGGTCACTACTGACTTAAGAAGATTCATCATCATCACTACCTTATCAGAGACCACTGCTGAGCAAAGGCCATGGAGAAGGTTTAAGCATTAATCACTAGGCTTGCTCAAGACGGGTTGGTGATTTCAAATTTATAATTGAAATCATAAGTCCGGGTTTCCTAACGATGTTTTCCTTCATCAGTCAGTGGTGTCTAAATACTCTTAGGAAGTACAAATGATTCGGAAAAATACATTGGTACTTGCCAGAATTGAACCCGCGCCCTCGTGAATGAGAGGCGGCCTTTAACCTTTAAACCAACACAATCACAACGAAAGAGACTTACTTGTCTTTAATGTCCACGTTCACTAAGAAGCTTTGGATAACAAACTGATGTAATCAAATCTTTTAATATAACTTCCGCAGATGAAAACACCCGCAGTAAGTTCTTGTTCTACGGCGGCAAGGACTACCTCCAGCCCGGAGGTTTGCTCGATTATATTCCCAAAGATCTCATACCAGACTTCCTTGGAGGACCTTGCAAGGTACGTGTTTGGAACATTTTTTATTAGTTGTATTAATTATTTTATTTTAACCTAATTCATAAGAACTGATCAACTAACTTATCATTCTGGCAGTCTGACATAGTGGACGCGTCGCTGTACGTGCCGTCCCACTATTACGACTCTGTACGCCGTGAGACTATACTATACGCACTCTGCCACTGTGGCGTGCAACGCATCAATGTGGCGTGCCATACCACGTGCAACACTTGTCCGTGTCACAGATCATGGTTGCACAGCTCGCCTCTCTGTTCCGTCTGATGCACGTTTCGAGTCGTTTTAAGTGAGGCTGGTGTGAGAGTGTATGTTTGTTTGTTTGTTGTAGAGCTTCGTCCACGAGGGCGGGCTGGTGCCGAAGAGTTTGTACGTGAGTGGAGCCTTTACCGAGCGAGACGGAGACCCGCTCAGTGAAGACAGCATATATAAGTCAGTCAGTCTGGCGAGAGGACAGGTGAGTACACACTAGGAGGAATGTTTGTATGGTGTTATGTGTAGAATCTTCAGAACATTTTTCTGAATAAGATATGAAGTTACAAAAGTGACAGGAACATTCGAGAAATAAAATAATAACCATTACTTTAAGGTTATTGTATAAGAAGGCATCATTTTAAAATATATTATGTATACTGTCAATGTGGTCATGTTAATTTGTGTGTTTAATAACGACATAGTTTTATGTACAGATGGACGATGGTATTGTAGAAAGGAATTTTTGAGAGTTAGCTGGAGTTCATGAATGGGAAGTATGATGACAGTATTTTTAAGATGATGTGACTGCTACTGGGCTGAGAGATTAAAGAAAGATAAGGACATATTAATATGTTTGTCAAACATTTATGTCTCAAATAAAGATTTACTTACTTACATACTGAGGAGTGAGCGTGTGTTGGAGGGGTGTCGGGGGTTGAAAGGGAGTGGATGGGGATACAGGTGTTGATGTAAACAATGTGTGCAGGTCCACGAGGTGGTCGTACACAACAGAGACCCGCACAGCGTGCTCACCTGGGACTTCGACGTGCTGCGGCACGACGTGTACTTCAGCGTGTACAGGACCAGCAAGGAGCTGCAGCACACGGAACAGCCCGCCGGTGAGACACACACATACACACACACACACACACACATCTGGAAATATAAACCAGAACAGTTACATAGTTTAGTAAAAGTAATTCAGCAACAATTCTAAATATGTTTCCAAGTCATTATCAAAACTGCTTATTTCATTACGTTCATGTTATTCGTATTATTCTCAAATCTCTCATATTCATCATCAGCTGGTGATGAGAGCCGCTCGGTCCTAGAGGGAGCTGGTCGCGAGGGTGAGCACTACCACCGCGTGGAGACGGCGCTGCTGTGTCACGACGGAGAGAGTATACAGGTATGACCTGAACCTGCTATCACCTACATATATATGTATGATTATGTTTACTAATAATTCCCCCCCCTCCCACCCCTCTCCGCAGGGTTCCCACGTGATGTCCTCGCGAGGCAGCTACGTGCTCCAGTGGCGGTGTGAGGGCGCGCGGGGCCCGGACGGAGCTCAGCTGGTGTACTTCCACGAGACGCTCGCCAGCCACCACTACCGGTGATACATACGCACATCACTGCTATAAAATACACTAATATACATTTGTATCATTATATTTTATGAATAGTGTTGTGTAGTCTCAGAAGACAAGTAAATGGGTTTCAGTGGTCACGTATATATATTACGCCATCTACTTTACTATGTAATATGATAATAAACAGTTTTAAAGATATTGAAGGATGTAGTAGGACTTGTATAACTTTTCTTAGAGTGTGGGTTGTATTCTTGTTTTTAACCCGTGCGTATCTTGTCCCCAGCGGGTCCATGTCGAGCCTGCAGTCCGCCACCAGCGGCTTCTCCTGCCTCAGCGGGTCCAGTTCGTGTCCGTCCCGGTGATGCGGCGCCCCCCCCTCCCCCCGTGCCGCCCGCGCTGCCACCACTCCCCGCGGCGCCCCCCTCCCCACCGGACACGTGCCGCTGCGACCCCTGAGGGAGAAATGCAGTTCTTGGAGCCGATTTTCCTCACTAGAGATGAACTATATCGTTGATTATACAGTTCTCGACGAACTGTTTAGATGAAATCGTGTCCGTTATGTGATTTTTTTGTGCAAATCTTGTTATTATAAGAACCATCGATACACTACGATGGTGATGATGTTATAGATGATGAACACGGAACTGGTGATCAAATATATTTTAAATATGTTGAATACATAGATAATGTAGCTTAAGGTTATTGGGGATGGGTGCTGAGGGTCAGGGGTCGTGTAAATATGGTAGATAGATAGAAAATGTTAAATAAATATCTGCGAAATATCAGCGGCATACAACGTACAGCCTGAAATATATGTATGGAGTATATTCATTAATGATCTTAGAATAGCATTAAATGGAATAAGGTTCTGTATAATAGGAATACAGGAAACCTGCAACGAATGACTTTAAAAAAATTCTACTGGTGTAGAAAATATATATTTGTGGTGACTTAAAGTGAATATATATTAAAATGTGAAGTTGAAGAGAGACGGCGCAAGGAAATAAGATTAATTATTATTAATAATTAAAATTAATTGGACATGTTGGATTGGTCACGGTCATTGTGTGGCTTATATATAGAAAGATTAAATAATAGCTACGACAAATACGGAACAACTTCACGACGGTGTGACGTTGGTAGAAAAGAATTAGTTAATATTAGATAAAGTATTGAAATGAATCTCCACAACGATTACACTTACACTGATTGAGAGCGAACACGCTCTTAATGAATAGATATAGGCACCTATTAAAATAGAGTTCATACATTTGTTGAGACTGTATTCAACTTGGTACGGCAAGGTCCTAAAATTAGCTGCAAAAATGCACCGCTTGAAATATTTTCAATGTAGCTACATGAATTATTTAGTTTTAAAACTAATGTACATAAAAATAATAGAAACGGCGACGCTATAATAATGTTTGATGTGAATAAAGTAATGTTGCCAATATATTTAATAGGAAAAAAAAATTGAAAAAACGTTATCACTTAGATATGTAATCACTAGAATTAATTAATTATATCCTATTGATATTGAGTGGCAACACTGACGTGCGGCTCAGGCGCGAACGTTGGGTACAAAATATGGAAGCAAAGTTAATACAAATATATTATATATTAAAATATATTTGACTTAGAGAGTCTCGAGATATTATACGTGTAAATACGCGGGAAAATACTTTATAGTTTAGACGAGGCGTTGCATTTCATTTGACATTGACAGTTGCTCATAAAGTAATAATAATTAACAAGGACTCAATATCTGAGTGATACATGAGAGCATCGGAATTGAACTCAATATTTTCATACATATATCAGATTATATATTATATACAACTGGAACAAATATGTGAATGATGTTAGTTGTAGTTGTTAATGTTATAATGTATTAAAGAATACGTATTTTTGTGTTTTATTTCTCTAGGGTTATGGGCGTTGTGTTATAACGGTCTATGTAGAACTATCATCAATGATGTTCAATATAAATGAGTTTTCTGACATATGTATATATTGTCGGGCACACATAGGGAGGTTTACATGTTATGATGTAAGAACATACAAGAGATGGATCCAAACATATTTTTGTTATATAATTGATATATAATAATAGAATTCCTTTTAAATGAATCATATAAATGTGTCATATATTCTTATAAAATCATTGAACAAATATGTAGATATAAAATTAAATTGATGTCGAAATATTAAATAGAATATATAACAACCACTGTCCAATATATCTATGTATATGATTATTATTATTTCCCTCACCAGTAAAATTCATATTTGTTATAATTTGTTCTATTCTTTTCATTCCGTTCGTCAAGTCTGTAGTTCTGTTATGTACTTGAAACAGCAAGTTTTTGTAATTAATTCTAACGAACTCCTATCGAGTTTTAGTTGAGTGTAATAAAATATAATTTATCGATGTGTGTTTTATTTGTGTGACGATATTCAGGTGATGACGTCAGATCTCAGAAGAATACATGTAGGAAACTATCGCTTGTGGCTGGAAAGTGGATACTAGACTGTTCTTATATTGGTAACGTGGCAGAATATGAGTTGTGCCTCTTAACTGTCATCAGTACAGAGTTTATAAAATCTAGTCTCGACCTTGATCAGTCAAGAATCAATCTTTATGTAACTCAGTGTGAAATTCACACATGATATTGATAAGGAAATACCAATACCTCAAAGAGTAGAATATAATGAATTGTGATGTTACTGGTTGAAGAATTTGACATGTTGATCTATATTATAAATTGTTCGGTCTTCCTTCACACAATCTGTGGGAAGAAAACGGAAAGGTACTTCTCTAATAGAATAACTTTTTTTTCCAGATTTGAGTTTTATTTTTACTACCACTTAGAAAAACACAGAAATATACATAAATGATAGTTTAAATAGTAATTCAGTTAGATAATATATAAGTACATTTTTGGAAATGGTTAAATTTTAAATTATTATATGTAATACATAAACACACAAAAAAGACAAAAGTTCTGTTCACTACATAAAAAGTACTGAACATAAATTAGGCGAGGAATATTATGAGATAGATCGTCAAATATATATATTAAATTGTATACTTAAAATTCATCATCATTTCACCTTTTGTTCCCTCTCAAATCCAAAACCGTAGGCGTAAATCCGTTTGTCCGTCCTATCCCAACTAGTAAAACCAAATTTAAGAAAATATGTACAATACAATTATCAATCGTCCTATCTTTATAATAAACTAAACAGAAGACTTAACATCTACAGACTCACAAAGTCGAATGTGAAGCGTGTTCTAACGGAGACATTGCTCACGTGTAACTATGCTGAAACTGAAAAATTCATAATTAAATTTAACTTTTCACAATTATAATACGATTAATATGATGTTAAACGCACACACGCACGCACACACACAGACACACATACATACACACACACAAGCACACACACACACTTTTTTTCTACTTACTTTATAAAATTGTAAACCCTGCTTTATATGGATAGTTCTATAAATGTGTGTTACAAAGTCATTGTTGACTTTCTAGTTGTCTTGGTGGATGAGCGGGGCACCCAGTAACACGGGTTTGTACTTAGTACAGGGGCCCTCGCAACTTGTTTCATTTGTAATCTTTTAGTCAATAAAGTTTTTTTTTTTTTATATATAGAATATACGAGGTAAGTTGTTTTTGAACAAGAACATGAGATATGAGAAGTTTTTTTTCCTATAAAACTTCTCATATCTCATGTTCTTGTTCAAAAAAATAAGAAGTTGAATCCTGAACCAGACACGTGTTCATATAAGACATTTGTGTGACATGATGTTTACTGACAGTTGACAGAAATATGCCAACTATGATGTTGATGAAGAAGTCCTGAGAATCTGTGAGAGCCGGCCCCCATCACCAAAATTGATAAAAGTGGTTAAATGTCAGGTTTCGTTAGTTAGGTAAAGCGAGTTGATTATATATTATATCTGCAATATTTTTATTATCCGTAAATAACATAAAAGGTAAAACCCGAAAACTCGATAAGGGAACTCATATTTGTAGCGCACATTTGATTGCAAACCCCAGATTTATTGCTCGTTCGTTTATTTTTTCTACTTGAATCTTTTATAGTCACGATAAGAACGACAATTTTACGGTATGGAAATGTGCGGTCTATAATGATCCCATGTTGCAATGATAGATTAAAATTCTTTGTACGTTGTTTTATTGCAATGCCGATTTCTGTTATATGCTTTAATAGTCAATCCCAAAATAGAAATATCTTTAAATAGGTAAATATTGTCATCAAGTATTCTTATTCCTACCAGAATAATTTGTAGAAAATACCTTTTCAATAACGCATACAGAAGAAAAGTAATGGCTGAAAAATTCGCTGTGGCAATTAAAAAAGAGACATAATTGTTTTAAGAAAGTCTTGTCAAGGTCGACAATTCATCAGAGTTTTAGCTTGTTAATGACACTCAAATAGTGATTTAATAAACAAACAATTCATGATCCTCATAGATACCTAATATATTTTAAAGTGTTCACTGTTTTTTCACCGACCGCCACCTTATAATCAAACTCTGAAGATATTTAATATGAAGAAATACAAAGTGTTCTTGTATTGTTATGGTAATAACATGACAAGAAACTGGTTTTTAATAAGATTATTTTAAATAATTTGTCTTAATTAAACTTTATTTTATATACAAACATGACAACACAAGATGTATAATCCAAGTTCAATAGTCATTATGAACATCACTCCCCTCACACAAGTGGAATAGTCTAAAAAACACAAACAATCATCGCAGGTGATAGTATCAAAGTAAATGTATGAATGAAAGACTGAAAACTATCTGAATTTAGTTTAATGGTCCACACTTGTGGTAGGTGTGTGATATTGGTTATACACTTGCATGTTAAGGAGGGTTATATTTATATATTTGAGATTTTTTCGAATGACGTCTTTATCCTACCCTAAGGCGGCCAACTTTCCGAAAACTGAATGCGGGACTTAACCTTTCGTGAATGGCGGGGGGGGGGGGGGGGGGGGGGGGGGGGTTGTTAGGGATTGGGAATGTCATAAAAATCTTCGCAACTGCCTATATTAAATTTAAGTACTCTCTTACGCGTCATGACTTCAGAAGAAATAAAGAAAACGAGATTAGCCCGGGCGCGATACGCTTGTCCCTATTATAGGTAATCTGTGTTCCTGCACTGTTGACCGTGGTATGGGTGTTGTGTAGAAGTCTGGTAGAAAAATAGGGATGCGGGACGCATACAACGTTTTGCGGGACTATTTTACTAATAATTTCAAATCGGGATTTCGTCTAGAATTGCGGGACGGTCCCGCAGAATGCGGGACG